GTATGGGATATCCCTCTAGTCAGTTGGGGTCAGCTGTCCTGGCTGTGTCCCCTCCCAACTTCTTGCGCACCTCCAACCTACTTGGTGGTGGGGCAGCATGAGAAACAGAGATGGCCTTGACCTGTGCAAGCACCGTTCAGCAATAGCTCAAACATTGGTGTGTTATCAACACTGTTCTGGTCACAAGTCCAAAACACAGCACCGTACGAACCTGCTATGAAGAAAATTAACTCTATCCCAGCCAAAACCTGTACAGTGTCTGAAAGGAAGGGACAAAGTGAACAGGCAAAGGATTAATGCAAGAAATAGAAAATAGTTCGCTGCACTAGCCTGACCAGAAGAGATCAAAAGTTCCTGTGTGAGCTACCAAGCAGTTGTGACTTACCTATAAATGCTTTGGCACAATAAAGCAAGTAATAGACTGGCCACTAGCATGGTGTGTTTTGGCATACCTTCAGTGGTTATCATGGATAAATATGCAACCTTGACGTTATTGAGGACTGGGCATATGTATGGTTCTCTTTCACACGTTTCTTCTGCAGTTCTCCTGTAGCACATAACAGAACTGCACTCAGTGCTCCTTTTTGTATGTATGTATGTCAGTGTCCTCTGCACTTGTATAAATAAAACAAGCAAATGCTATTTCTTTCTATGAGATATGATGCTTGAGTAAAGTGAAATTTTACCTCTTTGCTTTGCAACACAGATATCACCGTTACGGTGAGCTGAACATCAGTGCTGTTTGTTCTTTTCTGCCTATCAAGCTGAAGAGTCATTTCATGCCAAGCCTGACGTCCTCTACAGAGGGCTAAACGCAGCTTATACATACATAATCAACTGTAATTTTAGTATAGCTCCTCAGGTTGCCATCATGAAAACTGCATTGGGTTTATTCTTTAATACATTGATTACAATAGATTATTCAGTAGCAGAGAGAACCAGGCACAGCTGAGCAACTTTTGCCATGCTCATGGCATCAGGACTGCTGTTCATAACCTTATTTGAGAAGGTGAAAAATGTTCTGCTGATAATGCTGAATTTTGATGATGCAGAAGGTGGGAGGGGAGAAAAGAAAGAGGCATATCCCTCTGATGACTGATAAATCCTGTTTAATCCTTCCAATTTATTTCCCTCTCTTTCAAAAGGCTATGGGAACACATTGTCAACATTTTCCTTTTTTTCTTTAAATTAATGCAGCTAGTTATTTTGTTGTATCTCCTGCCTTGAGGATTCTCCCCTTTTTCTTTGCCAGGTTCCTCCAGTCATCATTCCCACAACTTGCTTTATGTAATCCCTGCTCTATTCTCACCTCCAAGATCCCATTCAATTTGAGTTTGTACAGGGAATTTTGCTTTCAGTAATGCAAGCTAAGGTTGTTCCAGTGTGTTTCCTTCTTGCCACCCTCCCCCTCCAAATGTATGTTTTTGAAGTCAGCCTTCTGGAAGGACATGAAACACCACAGGCAATCATAATTTTGTGTTAATGAAGTTATTTGTCAGTGAATTAAAATTCAGAATTGATGTTTTCAGTTAATTAAATATGAAAAATTACAAAAAAGTGCAACTGACCCTGCTGTTTTGATATTAAGTTCCATTTATTTGACACTGCACTTTCAGCTTTCAGTATTATGCAGCTTTTTCTGCATTAACAATAAAATCTAAAAAACACGAATGAATGAAAAGCACGTTCTCATCAGTTAACCATGGGAAGCTAAAATCCTGTAGTTTAGCACTTGTCTACAAACCAAAAGTCATTGACTAAATTTTCAGATTACGGTCTTACAGTCTCAAGTAGCTGGAAATGAAATAATTGCTGCTGTAACTATTTAAATGCATTCCCTGTGATCTAATTGCTTTTGCTTTAAATGATTATGCCCCTTCCTCATTTAGCATGCCCAATGCATCCACTTAGACTTACATGATTCATTTTGTCCTCACTTTAGGATAGATTAAAATGTTGTTGCACTCTGAAACGGGAAGTTAGGACTAAGAATGTGTAATTTATTTGAAACTCAAATAAATGCTATTTAGGTTAATGTCCAGATGGTTTGAAATAGACCTCTGAAGGCACAGACTAGGACTGGTCTAGGCTACAAGCGCTGCCTTCTGCTGCCATTGAGCATTCCCTATATTTGTGCAAATATTCTGCACTTCAGGGTAGCAGTATATAGCAAATAGAGAGCATGTGCACTGGGTTGTATATTCCACCCTAGACTGTGCTTTTTTGCACACTGATACATATCCAGTTGCTTTGGTTTATTTTCTTCACAGAAAATGTATATGCCATGACTGAAGGAATACAGAATAGTCCCTTTTAAGGTGAAGGGTGGGAGGAAGGAATAATGCTTAACGGCTGCTAATGGCTGGCAAAATGTTGTATGTAAATTAATGTATTTTGACTTTTTGTGTGGGCAGATGGTAGGTTAAGGCAAACCTAAAGATATTTCCTCCCATGATGATTTTGTAAAGCAGCATAGCAGACTGTCAGTTTGTACACTGTTCTAATGGGACAAATTTTCTGATTGCTGGGTTGTTGTGTGGAGCTAAAACTATGTGAATTGTAGCTCAGTGCTGTATCCTGGTGAATCAATGTTTGCAAGTATCTGCAATCATACAGATTGGATTTCTGAGTGACTCTGCCTGTGAAGGGTAATAATTTCTGGCATCTTAATCTCCCTTCTCTTAGTGCAGATGTCTAAAAAGAAAAGGCCATGGTTGTATTTAATTTTGTGAAATCCTGCATGAAACTTGTAACTTGGCTGAGCTCTGCGGCTTAATCCAGCCACCTCCTCCTCCCAGCTCCCAAGGAAGATATCTTTCTCTACTTGGTTCCATTCCAGTCCCTCTAATAGTGCTCTCCAGCTCTGAGTGGCTGAAGTGCCTTCTATTTTGTCCTTTGCCAGCCTCCTTTTGCTGATATATAGACAGGTTGCTATTTGCTCTAAGAAACAGCTTGATATACACTTCTGCAGTGAATCTGGGAAACATTACTGTCCAAAGACAGCAGCTGAGGTACTCTTTGAAACTGAGAAGCCCTAACACCCACCTTGACAGGATTGACTCAGCATATTAATTTAAAATTTCAACCTCACTGCTGACCCCTATATTGCATCAGCTTTTGGGTTTGGAATTTAGCCTTGGATCATACTTGTTTCTGAAGTTATATTTATAACCAAAGCAGGAGAATAAAGTTATTTTAAAAGAAAACTTTGGAAGGAATGGATTATGTTACTAAGTACTCCCCAAGCCTCTGGTTTTTGTTTATGAAATATTGCTTTCTTATAAAAGCAATATGAACAGCAGCTGACTTCCTGATCTCTGTCTTCACGTAAAAGTTAGAGCTCAGGCGTTCATTTAGAGGACTGAATACTTTTTTTCACTAGAGCCTGTACAGTTGTTCTGACATTCACAGTTAATATTGATACTCTGTAGGCCAGAAAATATTACTAGAGAAAGAATGCATCAAGGCTGATTCTGCTTTGAATGGAGTCAGTGGAAGTTTAACCATTGCTTGTAAAAGGAGGGAGACTAGACTGAGAAAGATTTATAATTCAAATGTGTTTAATGGTTGTGTATCTGTATGATACAGATTTACTCACACTGTTTTGAGTATATTTTAAAAAGACAGCGTCTCTTATTTTCTAGGGCATTGTCTTGTTTTTAGCCTTTCCATAATTAGTCTCTATTTATAGAGCAGATCAAGAGAAGTAGCTCACAGATGTCAAAAAGATGCATGTTTTCTGACATGTGTTTTCTTGCTTTAACTTTATGCAAATACTTTATTATTAATGCTTTTTAAAAGACCACAGGAGGTATATAGACTTTAATTTTTTTCTGTATGATTAATGCCAGCCATTTGGTTTTTGCTTTCATTTGTAAGGACTTCAAACTCTTCCATAAAAAGGAGAAATGGGCTATGTGTATTTAAATGTACACATAAAGATTAAAGGAATCGCAATCCTAATTTTTTTTAGTCACCTACATCACTATAATGGATCTCTAACATGAAAGTTCTATTTTACAAAGTGCTATTACCAGCACTTGTTTCCATTTTTCATCTTGGAAAAACATTTAATTTCCAGCTTAAGTTCTCGCTACATATTTTTAAATTCTCTTATATTATAAGTGCTCCTTCTATGTCTCAAGAGGTTAGGTAATTTACTGCTTTTGACTCAATAAAATTCTTACAGGCAGTTATGCTACTGAAATTTTGTAAAATAACGTGGGATTAAAAAAAAAAGTGATGAGTAGAGTTACTATCACCCTAGTCACAAAGTTGTGTGTTTAAATGCATGTTCCTGTGAACTGTATTCTGTCTCCTAGTATTCTTGTATATTCTATTCTATATAAATTCAGTATCAGTCAAAAGTCCTTTGTAGCTGCAAATAAAATGTAACTATTCCCTTTTAATATGAAGTTAATAATGAAGTGGTAAATGCATAAAGCAAAGTATTTTAAGGCATGTAGGTATTCTAGATACTGTGTTAGCATAGAAAAAAAAGACACCATGAATACTGAGAAACTTATATTTAAAGTGTGAGCCCTTCTATAGAGCAACAGCAACCCCCCTGTTGACCTTCAAGTGACCTCACTTACCACACTGCCTTAAAAATGAGATAATAATGGAAATATCCTTTGTTTATAGTTTTCCATAGAACAAATTTTTTTACTAGAGGCTTTTGTATTTGTGCTACGCAAAATTTTTCAAAAAATTAATTTCAGCCTTTATATTGTATCTTCCATCTTGGATTGTGAAGGGGGAAAGGCTTTCTTAGGTTTTCTTTTCCTGTTAAACACTTAAATTTAGCGTAAAGAGTCAAATCAAAATCTTTAATCATTAACAGGCCAAAGAACTGTTAAAGAATAAAAGAGTCAGTCAACACAGTTTAATAAAAGCTATGCTGTCCAATGAGATCATATAATACTGTGCATTTATACTGTTGTATTAGCTATAAAAATCTAAACCAGTTTATAATATCATACAGTTATGTAGGTACTTACCATTTTAAAAGCAGCATCAAGTGGAATTGGTGGAAAGTCCCCAAGGTGTAATCAATAACTGATTAAAATTATGAGCCTTTACAGTATTATTTTGAAGTGCACAATCTGAAATTAGAGGAAATTTACTGACAGTTGTATATTTTGTGGAAGGAAGGATTGCTCAGACATATACTAACAACAAAATCGATGTCTGTTGCCTTCTACAGAGTACAAGGAGTGTGATTTATTTTGAAAATGTCTTTCAGCTGGGTAACTAGGTAACTTACACTGTGCTACACGAAAGAGTTTGGATTCCATTTTGTGAAGCAGGATTCCAGTGCAATGAGTGAAGGAAACAGATGGAGTAACAGGAGGACAGATGGGTACCAAAAAATTACAGCCACCGTTTTCAGTACCTGTGCATAAACTTCCATAAATCAATTTATTTTCATTTACTGAAAGAGGAAACCCATAGATTATGAAGCCAAAGCATTACAGGGCCCAAAACCACTCTATGTTGAAAGCATATATTTGTGTGATTAATAACAGTTCTAGATGAGCTACATGTGAGAGTAAAATTTTCTGTGGGCAAGAACCTTGCCTCCAGTCATTTCATTCTGTTAGGGAGATTTAAACATCTCTCTTATTCAGTGGGGGGAAGATTCGTTGGTTATTCTGCCATATTGGACAGCTGTAAAGCTTTCCTTGTAGACCAGAGGTGGGCTACTGAAGTGATGCAGTGAGTGCTCAGGGGCTGCTCCACCACGAAGGCTTCAAGCAGTCTGGGAAGGAGCTGAACCTGGAAGAGCCCAAAGTAAAGGCTGAGAGTGCAGGAGGCCACTTTCTGTCCTGCAGCAGCCTGAATTGCAAGACACGAATGGTGGATTAGAAAAATCAAACAAATTTACTATATATATACACCAGCAGTCCTTATCTGCTGCATGGCACAGCTGCTCTGTCACATACTTGACCTTGACTTAATTTGATCATCCCTGTGGTTAAATAGGGAGTTCAGCTGTGAGCCAAATAATTTCTTAACACCCCTCACCCTACCAGTAACTTCCAGCTTGTTGTTGATACTCTTGAATTTTTATATGAACACCTGTCCATTAGAAATTGGATGGTGCCCATCCAGACAATTTACATTTATTTTAGAATGTCTTGCAATTAGTGGACTTTCAAAATTGTAGAATACAAATAGAAATCACCCTTGTATTCAAAATATTTGAGAGATTAAGAAATATAGGTCAGAATATGTAATTGCTCTCGTTCTTGTTGAATTTATATCAGGAAGTTTTCTTGCATAGAGGCACTGCATGAATAGCCACTATATTTTGGTGCAGCAAAGGCAAAAGTATGAAAAAGTCTGTAACTCAAATATCTTGGAATTGGCTTTCTGTCAGATTTTTATCCCAGTTCCTTTTAAATTTTCCTATGAATAGTTTGAATTAAAAATTTACAATTTTCTTAAATTTTTCAAAATAATTTTCTAATTAAAAACATTCATTTTAGGGTTTAGGCTCACTACTTTTTTAATAAAACATAAAACAAATATGATGTTTTGTCTTCATATGAAAAAAGATTGGTTAGACTTTATCCCTCAATCTATTAAATGCAATTTAGAGCTTAACGTGGCAAAACCTTAATTTTTTAGCTTTGTTAGCTGATTGTAGATTACCTTCCCTATATTATCTCATTCAAGGTGAGCATTGCAGCGCTGGCTGTCATGAGTGCTAGAGGCTGGGTTACAGTCTTCAGCCATAAACAAATCCCATTCAAAACTCATCATCTTCTCCTCCCACCCTTAAACAAAACTCTGTGGGATTGGGATGTAGCCTATGAATCAGGCAAATAGTTCAGAGGAGGTGTGGTGGGATAAATAGGAAGGAAGATGGTTTGGCTTGGTTTCATAACTGAAGTGGAAAAGAAATCATTGTTTGGTTTCCTTCAATTAGAAAACATTAGTGATCTGAATCCAGTTTGAGAATGGCTCTATTTATGCAGATGCAAATATACTAGTTTTCTTTTTTTTTTTCCCCACTAAAATTTTTTGAGTTGCAGAAACATTAATACAACCCCACTTATATTTTTTGAGTTGCAGAAACATTAATACAATTGCCATGACTATTTTTTCCCCTGGGACTTCTTACAAAATTCCATATCTGTATAGTCATTGAGCTTCTTCCCCTCCCCCACCAATCACTCTTTTTCCAGTCTGAGTTTGGAAAAAAACAGATATGAAATAATGTTTCCTTTAAGCAGGTAGGAGATAAACTATACTGCTTTCTTAAGCCATCTATCTGAAAGAGTTTAAAATTTTAACCAGGCTCAAAACAGTGAGCAACTCTTTCCGATTTTTGTAGTTTAAAGATGGTAAGGAATTGTAACTTAATCATTTTGAAAGCATAGAATTGCTTTGGAAATTAAACTCAGACTGGAATTTACTATTTACTACTACAGTTCTTTTGAAGACAAACAAGCTTGCAACACACAAAGTAGTCACTCTTAAATACTTATTAAAAGTAATGGCCACTGGTAAGTCTGCCCTAATAGATAACCCTTCAGCCCATTGAAACCTGGCAGCATGTAGTGTCAGGAACATCTTGATACTAGTATGGAAGAGCAGTGTAATTATTTTGATCTATATAAGTTAGACTTGAAGAGAAGGTGGTCCAAGGAAAGAGAAAAGGCCATGCTGCCATCAATACTTATCAGCAGTAAGTCTAAGTGATGTGCAACTTCGTTTATATATTTGATTTGTATGCAGCCCAGACTGAGATTGCCCTTTCTCAAACTGCTTGATCACTTTTAATTCCCTAGAGGAATGCTTTTAGAAAAGAGTAATCTTGTACAAGGCTCTTGCTCATCACTAAATCTGGGGCTTCTTGCCCTGATGTGGAGAGAGAAAGAACATGTATGCACTGCAGAGAAGAGGGCTCTTTGTTAAAAATCTCCCGGCAGTCCTCATCTATTAGGCACTGAAGATAGTTACCCAAGTGCTAAGGCTAATCTAAGTTGCAACAAAGAGGAAATCTCTCTAAAGTGGTTGAAACTCAAGTGCTTGGTCTTGTTTCTACCCACTACAAAAGACGGTACGCGAGTTTAAACGCTTCCTTGAGCTATCATCCCTCTGGTTTTGGTTCCACTGTTCTGCTTGGAGAGAGAGTCCATACATACTGGCTTATTAAGGCAATATAAGATGACTGTCAAACAGCTGTGGGGCATACATGTCAAAAGAAAGGTCACAGTCTTCTGTACAAGTACAAATGGGAATAAATGCCCAGTATATTCGCTGCTTTTGGAGCATCTGTCAAGAGCTGAGTATCCAGCAAGATTCCCATATAGAAAATTACTCTTACCAAGGAATTGTTCCTTCCTGTATTTTTGTCAGTCAGCCAATCATTTGCAAATGAGTTGAACTTCATCATCTAAGCTGCAAGTTGAAAGAAGTGTATTTTGTTCTCCATGTATATGCAATATGTATGAATTAGTCTAATAGATTAGTTCAGTTACTAAGATCAACCAAACTCCAGATTCCATTCTGTGTATGAAATTAGCATCTTAAGTTTAAAATGTAGGTATCATTATTTCAGATAATGAAAAACCTTTCAAATGAGTTACTTCAGTCTTGTTTCACTTCAACAACATAAAATATTGGATTATGAAGACAATAGTATAATCTGTATAATTGGTAAAACAATATGCCAGGAAGAGTTTGGGGGGTCTGGGAGTTCAGAATCCCCACCTCAACTTTGTGTGCCTCAATCCAGGTGTGACTGGCTACAGGGGGTGTGTGTTTCAGCCACCCTCCCCACCAGAACCATGCTAGCCAGCAAGTCAGAATGCCCTAATACTTTTACTGGTAGAAAGTAATTACAGAATACTAGGTATTGTAGTACAAAAAAAAAAAAAAGTTAGTGTTCTTTCCACCACAGATGAATTGAACGGTCTGTAAATAACACTTTCTTTTCACCTCGTGTGCGTCCTTGCACAAAAATGCTGCTACTGAATTGTTCTGAATGTGTCTTCGCTTAATTTCAAAGCTTGAATTAGTGATTAGTAAGAACCTTGGGCTGTGCTTTGCTGTTTCACTGTTAAGTAGTAGATCAAAAAAGAAACTTAAAGCTCAGTGTAACTGGTGGTTGTTAACACCATTTCTGCTTGTATCTTTGGGGATTCTCACCTACTAGTCTTAATTACTTATTCCAAAACCTTAAAAAAAAAAAAAAAAAAGGCCCTGGGTTAGCATTTTTTCTTCTGATACTGAGTGTTCTTATTGAAATTGCAACCTCTTCTTTGTGATGGGGAAGAAGGAAGTATAAACCTGCTTGAGGCAGGTTTTAACATTTTCAAGCCATGACTAAAGCCAGTTTAGATCAGTTGGCAAGGGCTTGAGTGAATGTAGGGACAAGCTGAGGGGAGGTGGTTAGGACCATACAATGAAAAATAAACGTAGATAAACAGGAAAAATATAGCAAGGAATATGATGAAGAAAAGAGCGAATGAAGGTATGAAGGAACTTAAAAATTGGAGAGACAACAGTGATTCTTAGAAATAAAACTTGAAGAAATAGGATAGCAAAAAAACAGAGGAGCACATAGCAAGAAAACACAAAGCGCAAGTGTAAAAGGGTTGGGACTAAGAAAGAGAAAGGTCTTCTGAAGATAACACCTGTCTGTCAATCTGTCTGACTTCTTTTGTTCCAGACTGATTCTGTCATCCCCCGCACCTCATATATCCTGTTGACATGTAGGCTTCTTTCCCAAGCAAACCAGCTAGATGCCTTCAGGACAAGTTGTGGTAAAATCAATAAAATTGTGTGGTTTAAATTGCCCTATGAGATGCAGAGGATTTTGGTCCGTATATCTATGCAGTAAGAACATGGCAAATCTATTCCTGCTAGGTCTGAGCACTGCGGGTATGAGCTGCTGCTCATTAACTGCCCTAGGAACTGATGCCAGTTTCTTCCATAGCCACCTGAAACAGTATATATGTGGCTTTAGTTCTTCTAGCAGTAAGTTTATGTTACTGCATGTGTAACAAACTATGTGTAGTGGTCTGTAAAATGTTTAGACATGAACACGAATCTCATCTTCTATAAAGAAAATGGAAGCTTTCAGTATACTAGAAGGTCCTTATTTGCCCTTATTAATTTAACTGTTCTTTCCACACTGGTAAAGAAGCC